CGCTGCAGGATATTTTGGATGCCTATTTGAGTATCTACCACCTGAAATTATACTGTTTAAATGAAAAAAAAATGGAATTACACCAGATTTATTTTATTTTCTTGGAAAAAATATAAGTTCTTTCTGGTGCTTAAACCGTTCCTGGTTTTAAAATTGTTGAATACTGATTGTGTTCACATGCAAAGGTTTGATTCTCAAAAGGTGTTTGGGATATGAGTGTACACACTGAGTTTTCCCCTTGCAAAGGGCAGTGATGCGTTCTGTATCTTATCTACACTTGCAGAGTTCCTGTGTTCCGGATCTCTTGCCTCGCCTTATTGGCCAAATGTGGTTACAAAGTCCTCAACACAGAAAGGTTGACCTTATTTCCAGGTGAACAGGGAAATTCAGGGGTGGGACTTCAATGTGCATGCTCTCAACCTTAAGACCTACACATATTCAGGTTAAGTGCATAAACAGGGCTTAAATGTATATCTTTGGAACAGGTTTCATACCTTTTAACAAAAAGTCTAATCATCCCTGGTGTAGGTGCTGCAGAACTGCCATCCTCACCTCTAAACATTTACTTTGGAGTTTTGCTTGCCTGAGTGCAAGTTAGTAAGATTCTACGCTCTTTAAAAAAATCCTATATTTGCTAGTAAAATTACTTAAATTATTACTACAATGCCCAATTGAGGGCATTAGTTGAGCATTAGCCAGTTGCTTGTGTGCAGCTAAATATGGATACGAACTGCTGGTTTGGTAGTTTGGCGTGGTTTGTTTCCTGGCTGAACAGCTGATCCACAGTTCAGTGTCCTGCCCCATATAGCAGGTGACCACTTGGTGACAGTGCCCAGACCCACCTCTTCCAAGTGCTGCCTCCAAATGAGCACCCACTGGAGGGTGTGGGGCACCAAACCACAGATCAGCTCTTTGTATGGGAAATGGACCATGCTGAGCCCACCAAACCCACAATTCATGCCCATCTCTATATTGCAGTATAGAACAGACACCTTTAAAAGTGCCATTGATTGAGAGTAAATATTAGCTTCTCTGTTTTCAACAACTGTGAAAACAACTGATTGTTTTACCAGAGGTGTGTATTCTAGAATAGATTTACATACACAGATCTTTCAAATAAAATGGTAAAATACCTACCATAACTGGTACCAGGCAATGGATTTTTGACGATTCTTTTTCTCCTTTAAAAGAAATTGAATATTAATCAGATTCTGCTGCAGCGCATAGAAAATTTAATTGCATTGTTCCCAAACCTAGATTTTGAAAGCTTGTTCTTGTGATATTTTGACTGTGCCAAAATTGATATTCACGTGAGAGATCAGGTAAAATGAAAACTCATATATACCACAGATTCGCTAAGCTTTTCTGTTTATATTATCTGGTGTCAAACATTTCTCACTTTTTAGTGCGTGAGCTGGTGCTAATGGATAAACAGTACAGTAGCTAGTGAACCATACATTTTCCAGAAAACCTGAAATGACTGGTTTTTAAAAAGGAGTCAGATAACAGGTTATGCTTCTGAATAAATTTGTGAATACTTCAATGAGTATTTGCAGAGATGATCAAACTTGGATATATTCTCAGTAATAGACTTGTCACTCCAAGCCTTCTCTTCTCAAATTATGTACAGTAGTAAATTTAATGAAACACTCAGCTATTTATTATCTTATTTATAGTCTATTAACAATCCCAGACACAAGTCATGAAATCAAATACAATCAGGCTAAAACAACTAGTCCTGTACAGTTATAGTTCAATACTGATTCTCTTCCTTGTTTTAACGAAAAAAAGCTGTGTCTATATTATAGAGTATGTACAGTATTGTAGGAAAACTCTAAGGAAAAGTTTGCAATGTCATGAAACACTCTAGATGCTCACAGAATGAAACTTCCCATATTTATGGTCCAACCACGATAGTAAGCAAAGTTGTCAGTTTAGTTATAATGAAAACTTTACATAAACCCTAACAATAGGAGAAGCTAAGTTTATTGTATATCATTTCCAAACACTCTTGTGTGCTTTTAAAGTTTCATTCCTGGGTCAAAATAAACAGCATCTTTTCCACGTGAGATGCATCTTGCATCCAACATGCTTTGTTTTACCCAAAAGATAAATGCATGTCTATCCATTGAAGTACATACCTTCTGAGGAAATCCCTCATACAGGAAGAAAAAAATTTGATCCCACACTCAACATCATATGAGATTGTCTGAAATTTCATTAGGATAGTCCTACATATTCGCCAATGGAATAAGCCATCTTCTCCCCCCTCCCCCCCATAAAGTATTTCTGTGAATGTTGGTACATAATGGCCTAGTAATATTCCAACTGGACTTTCTCTTCAACTTTGAGGGAACGGTGTAGGATTCCAACCGTTAAATGGACAGTAGGAGCAGAAAAGATGGGTCTAGCACACCCACATATTTGTCCAAAATGGGAAAAGTTACTTTTTTGGCCTATAACTCATAGAAAACTACAGTCAGCATAGCCAGCTACTGGGAGTTGCAGTTTAAAATATAATTTTCAATTTCTTAAGGCCAGCCTTGGGAAGGCAGCCCATAGCTTTGATGCCACAGCCAAAATAACTCTCTAGCTGGTTACATGTACCCCCTCTTTGCTCAATGATGAGGCACTGAGAGAAAGGCATTGTCACAGACATTGTTAAAGCACGGGCATTTTTGCTTACAGGAATAGGCACACGCCCCATAATATTATCAAGCATTTTTAGATTTATGTGAGGTCTAGGCATTATAGGCTAATCCTACAGATATTTGCTTTTTCTGATCCATAGAAGAATAACATTTAAAATGATGTCTTTCTGTTTCCAAGCCAAATTATAAAACATTGCAATTGAACTATTTAAATGAATGAGTAATTTTCTCTTGCAGTATATGCAAATATGTACATTGTTCCAATTGTTTCAATAACTGACACTATATGAGACTAATGATAACTCTGTGGTGTCAAGTCAATTCTGACTTGTGGTGAGCTTTCGACACTCTATGAGACTAATGATTGTGGTGTCAAGTCAATTCTACTTGTGGTGAGCTTTCCAGGATTTTCTAGGTAGAGGGTACTCAGAAGTGGTTTACTATTCCCTTCTCCTGCGGGCATCCTGGAATTGTGCAGTTTGCCCAAGACCATGCAGGCTGGCTCTTCTGTCATAAACAGTGGGAGAGTAAACTCTCAACTTCTTGCCCTGCAGCCAGATGCCTAACTCACTGTGCTATCTAGCCAGCATCTTATCTGAAACAAGATGTTCCATTAATGAAATAATTTTTATTCTTCTAAATCCTTCTATTGAGTCCTATTACCCTGGAATTGTGCAGTTTGCCCAAGACCATGCAGGCTGGCTCTTCTGTCATAAAGAGTGGGAGAGTAAACTCTCAACTTCTTGCCCTGCAGCCAGATGCCTAACTCACTGTGCTATCTAGCCAGCATCTTATCTGAAACAAGATGTTCCATTAATGAAATAATTTTTATTCTTCTAAATCCTTCTATTGAGTCCTATTATCACTTTCTGTGCTCCAAAATGGAAACATATTTTGCAGATTAACAATATCTTCCTTCAATTGAAACAACAGCATATTCAGTTAGTTTTGCATTGGATATGTTGGTCTTAGGAGAGAAATTCTGAAAATATATGGAAATTTCTTTCTTACTCAAGCAGAAACTGTTAGTGAGCTTTCAAGCAGGTTCCGTAAACATAATGCTACAGATGAAGTCACAAAACCATACTTTAAAGCCCATTAAAAATGTCTCAGAGCAACTGGAGAGTGAATACTGATTTTGTGTTACAGCTGCAAGACAAATGGCTTCTTGGTGAAAGAAAATCTTACATTAATTAATCTTCATCAAGGTTTCAATGGATAGTACAATTTATGGGTTCTAAATCTTGCTTGATGAAAATTGCATGAGAAGGAGAAAGGCTTACTGTAAGCATATTGGTTATAAGTCACTTCAATACATTGAGCCAGTACTTTAAACAATTTATTTTTGCTTGCTTAATTGTCCCCATATTCACATTAACACTAAGGAATATACTTGAAGCTCATTGTTTTATGAACTACTCATTAAAATATTAACATATTTGTGATTGGATTGGTTAATATTGTGTATTATACATATCAAATAAGAATCAATTCAATAAAAATGTTTTGGTGTTTTAGGTAAATACTACTGGCTGGAATCCTATTTTATATTCATGCCAGTGTCACATGTAACAGTAGCAGTGTAACTATCAGTTGCAAATTACTACAAGTTAAGAAGTCAAAGTGGGCATTTTCTATTGGATGCTGAGGCATGTGATTGCTATGTGGTAGAAAATCCCTACATGATAGGAAATACCTGCACTGACATCTTAACTTACAGCAACTCACTACTGAAAATTATACTACTGATGTTATGCCATGAGGCATAATTAATAGGTTTCCAATATTTTATTCTTTGGTATGTATCTCAAATGCTCTAAATTTAATTCCTTTACCATTTATCAGTAATTTTTTACACTGTATGCCAGACACACGAGATATATAAATAATATTTCTGTGATTTGGATTATTGTAAAACAAAGAAGTACTTAATAATCTGAACAAAAAATGCAGAAAAGCTTAGGAGATTTGAGAAGATGGGTTGTATATTAACTCATCCACCTGCCATCCCTCTTCACTGTATATCTTCCAATAGCAAGTCAATAAAATGATTAGAACTGGTGCCTCACAAAATGTACACCTTGAAGCCACGAAGCCATGAAAATGTGAAGGATTTCTTTCTCCTGACCTTTTCAAATTATATCTAACTGTCTGGGGAATTTCTCAGTGACTAGAGGTAATGAGGTTCAATCTTCTTTTGCTGGTTGGCTTCAAATTCAGCTCATCAGAAGCCTTAACTTATCTATTCCTTTTATCTTGGCTTTGGCATGCCTTCAATGCTATAATCCATCCATCTAATCTTGGTGTATATGTATGTGTTTCACTCCCCACCTGTTCCTCCTCTCTTAGGCTTTCCTGAAGAATCAAACTGTGAAAACTACAACCATAAAAGGCCCTCCATTTATTGCATTCGCCAAAAAAAAAAAAAAAGTGATATTCGTATGGGAGGCTGAGCTGGTATGTTGCCTTTTGAGAAGGGCTTTTTAAATGTAATTAGTTTCTAGATTTCATCTCCATCCTGCATTTTAGTTTTTGCCAGCCAGTGTGATTTATGCTTCAGTAGCTTTCATATTACCAAACTTTTAACATGTTGCTCTGCAAAATATTAAGGGGTGGACATGCAGGGAGAAAGTTATTCATGTTACACTGATTTCCCTTGAGTTATTATTGTGGGAATTCACAAGTGATAGATGCAATATCTGAACTGGTGTCTCACAAAATGTACACCTTTAAGATGTGAAGTCATGAAAATGTGGAGATGCAATGTCACAGGAGTGAAATGCAGAAATGGACAGTTAGCTTAGCCTCAACACCACCATCTTCAAGAAGCGGAAAACAAAACTACAGAGAAGAACAGATGTATCAAACAGGAATACAGTTACATTCATATTCATATTCAGTCCAACACAACAGACCCATACAAGAGAGATTCAGGAGAGAGTAATTTCATATGCACTGCAGATGCTACACTGGATTCTCATTTATTTATGGACAGTTAGCTTAGCCTCAACACCACCATCTTCAAGAAGCGGAAAACAAAACTACAGAGAAGAACAGATGTATCAAACAGGAATACAGTTACATTCATATTCATATTCAGTCCAACACAACAGACCCATACAAGAGAGATTCAGGAGAGAGTAATTTCATATGCACTGCAGATGCTACACTGGATTCTCATTTATTTTATTTTTAAATTAAATTAGATTAAATGCTGGCGGGAGGGAGGGCCTGGACATAAAGCCATGTTTTTAGTTGAATTTTAAATTTTAAAATTTTTAATTCCCATCTCAAGGCTCCTCTGATGCCCAGTGAGCTTGCATTTGCCTTGTGATGTAAGTGAGCATATGCAGCTGCATGCCAGATCTAGGAAAACTACTTTTTAAATCATTATAGTTATAAGCCTGAATCTGGTAGTCCCACCCTTAGCTATAATAAATTCATTAAAGCAGTGGGATTTTGTAATGACTGCCAGGTCAGTAATTCATAGATTCATAGAACCACAGAGTTGAAGAGACCGCAGGGGCCATCGAGTCCAACTCCCTGCCATGCAGGAACTCCATCAAATCACTCCCGACAGAAGGCCATTCAGCCTCTGCTTAAAAACCTCCAAAGAAGGAGACTCCACCACGCTCCGAGGCAGCCTATTCCACTGCCAATCAGCTCTGACTGTTAGGAAGGTCTTCCTGAGATTCAGGTGGAATCTCTTTTCCTGTAATTTTAAACCATTGCTCTTTGTCTTAGTAGCTAGAGCCATGGAACTTGTCCCTTCCTCGACATGACATCCCAAATATTTAAACGTGGCTATCATGTCCCCTCTTAACCTTCTTTTTGTAAGGCTAAACATACCCAGCTAGCTAAGCTACTCCTTATAGGACATGGCTTCCAGACCTTTGACCATTTTGGTCGCCCTCCTCTGGGCATGTTCCAGGTTGTCAACATCCTTGCATTGAGGTACCCAGATCTGGACACAAGTGGTGTCTGGTGAGGTCTGACCAAAGCAGAATAGAGAGGTACTATCACTTCCCTTGATCTAGACACTATACTCCTATTGATGCAACCAAGAATTGCATTTGCTTTCTTGGCAGCCGCATCACACTGCTGACTCATGTTCGGTTTGTGGTCTACCAAGACTCCTAGATCACTTCCACGGGTACTGTTGTCTAGCCAGGTGTCTTCCATCCTATATCTGTGCAGTTTGTATTTTCTGCCTAGGTGTAAGACATTAACATTTCTCCCTGTTGAAATTCCAACTGATAGAATTGATCTTGCTGGGACTATGTATTGTTCCAGACCTTTCAAATAATTAATTATTCTTACTGTTACAATTGGTTTAAAGTAATTTGAAGTAATTATTTACTTTCTCTTTTCTCAAAACCAATTAAAATAGTTCCCATTTTGTTATGTTTTAAATAGCCTGAATGCTACAAATCACTGGCTTGTAGAATAAAACACATTCTCTTCCCAAAAGGCACCTTTAATTGAACAAAACAGTTTAGGGCTTCATGTTGCTCACTTCTGGTTCTAATTGGTACATGGCATTTAGCCATTATGATCTTGAAAACTCAGTGCTAGCAAAACTATGAGTTTCATAACACAGTTATGCATCCCAATCCAGAGAAATAGATCTACATGCCAAAGAAACAGAGTCATCCTTGCTGATGTGGCATCTCCTTTTCTGTCTGGGGGTTGATGAGAAAGAAGAAGAAAGCTTTTCTGGGTCTAATTGGTACATGGCATTTAGCCATTATGATCTTGAAAACTCAGTGCTAGCAAAACTATGAGTTTCATAACACAGTTATGCATCCCAATCCAGAGAAATAGATCTACATGCCAAAGGAGACCTATAAAACTACCATACTTAATCCAATGGACCAGCTAGCTTGGTATTGTCCTCTGAGGTTGATACATTCAAAACTGCAAATGGAAAAATAAACAAAGTTGTGTGGTGGTGGTTGTGGTTTTTTTGGGATCTTTGACCGTGTTCTGAAGGTTGTTCTTCCTAACATTTCACCAGTCTCTGTGGCTGGCATCTTCAGAGGACAGGAGTCAGAACTCTGTCTGTGCTTTGTTCTGACTCCTGTCTTCCGAGGATGCCAGCCACAGAGACTGGAGAAATGTTAGGAAGAACAACCTTCAGAACATGGCCAAAGAGCCCAAAAAACCCACAACAACCATTAGATCCTGGCCGTGAAAGCCTTTGTGAATACAAAGTTGTGTGGTCTTTATGCAGTATAAAGGCAAGAGCTGACAATACCTTCAATCATGAAAAATTTAACAAATAGCCAGCTTTTGACTTAAACCAGTTTCCATCAAGCTATGCACCAGTATTTTGTGGGCAGTAAACAAATATGTATATGTGTGTGAGGGAGAGTCTTAAAAAATCCTGGCAGATATATGTTTTAGGACTGTTTCTAAAATATTAGGTAAAAAATGCTGGCTGCAAATGCCAGCCAGGGCTGTTGGTTTCAGATGCCACCCCTGGCAGCCATTGGTTGGAATTTTTCTCCCAACTCCTCAGAGGACTGTCATTCATTCATAAGCAATGACTTCCCTCATTTGCCTTCATTTTGAAACTCACAGTTCTTATTTGGCCAGGAAATAGTTGCCCAGAGCACCACCTAGAAGACAACATGGACACTTAACATCAGCCAAGCAGGAATGCAAACCAGAAGAATACGTTTCCTTCCAACCACTAGAGAATACTGTTTAATTGGCTCTAATTTGGTTTCAACTGGCTTCACCTAGTGGTGGCACTAAATTTTATCACCAATTTTCAGATGGGGGCTTGCCACATTTCTGTATATATATAGAGAATATATATATACATATATATATATTTTATTCCCATATATATATGGGAATAAAATATATTTCTGCACTATCCACAGGCTGTATTGATGCACAGTCTCATGAAGATTGGTGGAGGTCAAGAGCTAGCTATTTTTTAAATTTTTTTAATGATCCAATAAAGGTATCACCTCCCTTGCCTCAAATAAAAAGTGATCCTTTTCACCTAGATATCTGAAATCCTTGACAGCGATTGAATTGCTCAAGACTGCCACCATTTACAATATGGTAAAAAAACCCACATAGGCTTGTTTTTCTGTGGCAGAATGCAAATCCATATCTGCACCACAGAGTTCATGCATGCTTCACTGAATGTTGATGCAGACTGGAGTAGACATCCTCATTCAAAATTACTGGGTTTCATTTTGCTTTGTTTTTACTCTAAACCAGTTGCACATGATTAATTTAGAGTACAACTGTTGTATTCCATGTATTATATTATACATGACTTCAGCAACTGAATTCATTAACCTTTCTGTAAACGTATCTTGATAGCCATGTTCAGTTAGGCATGTACAGAGTGTAAATGATAGTACTTGCTTGGTCATTAAAAAATATAAAGTTAGATCACCCACATGCTACAACTTAATCCTTGGTATGTGGAGAAATCTCACCAGAGCATCATTTATAATTGAGAACAGACTGACTTCACACATCAAGACAGCCTGTTAAAAATTCTCTAGCTACAGTGAGAATTCTCGCTTCCACTGTGAAAGAAGGACACTGTCTGTGTGTTTCAGTGGAATTGCAAAAAGCCCATCTACCTTTTCTCTGAGACTAATTAAAAAAGAATCTCGTCCTCTTGCTGCAAAAAGAAAAAAAAATAGTGTGATTTCCCAGAGGATGAGCCACGGCATGATTTACATTCCTACTTGCACCACCATATTGGTGCTGTGGGGAGGGGATGTCCGAGCCCAGGCTATGGAGTTGTTAGAGCATTGTTGTTCAATGTCAGAACATAGGCTGTGACACTCCATTGGCACCAGAAAGACCCAGAATGCCATGACAGCATGGCAAGACTCTTCATCCCCCTGCACAATTGTCAGAGAGCAATCCTTAAGATTCTTCATTGAATATAAGCTCATTTCCATGATGATGATTGCCTTTCCTAAGGACCCTGATCTCTCATAAAATGGAAAGTGCCATCGAATAATGATGTTCGAAAGGTAAATGGCCCATGTTTGCTCGTGCTGTTTCCCTTCATGATAATTTCTTTGTCATCCAAAGTGTGCTACTCTGTTAAAGAAAATGAGCCTTGGCAAAGAGGAAATGAAAAGTCCAATTATATTCCTTAGTGAACCATGACTGCAGATTTCTCTGGTTTTGAAACCTTTTGCTTTGAAGTCTTTTCTTTACTGAGATTGCAGTAAACATGCTTTTGGCTGAAACTCACAGCTGGTTAATTGACATTTTAAACCACATTTACTAGAATCCTTTAGCCGCCAGGCCTCTGCCCCTATTCAGAGTTGTAGTCTTAAAAAAGTAACTTTTGACACAATGATAACCCATACATGGTTGTTGTGGGGTTTTTTTGGACTGTTTGGCCATATTCTGGAAGGATAAATTGCAGATAAATCAAGAACAAGGCTAACAGCCCGAAAAACCCACAACAACCATCGGATCCCAACCATGAAAGCCTTCGAGAACACATAACCCATACACTTCTTTGGACTTTCTTTTACACCGATCACCAAATTTCTACTCCACACAAGGCTTTTCAGTTCTTTAAAAGGCAAATATTCATTTTTTAAAAAAATGTGTGTAGACTGGAGGGTTTTCTGCTCACTATTTAGTATCGAGAGCTTGTTATCACGTGTCTAAGCTTAGGGCAACAGTTTTGAAGTCAGGAAGCTGTGACTTTGAATCAGGCTTCAGTGCTAACATGGCTTGTTTTAGAAGTGGAGCAGCTGCAAGCAAAAGCAAGGTGACATAGGCATGGAAGTTTACAGTCCTGAGCTAAATGGACCAGTGTTCTGACACAGGTTCCTATTTTCTTCTAAGAAGTTCTATGCAGTGTTTCTTTTTAAACTTTATGTTCTTTTCAGTCAGAGGATCACGCAGGTTTGGTTTCAGCATCTTTATTTAAAATGGTCTCAGAGAGCCAGACTGGTGGAGCCCAGCTCCTAAGACTTTGGAGAGCAGCTGTGGCTCCTAGGCTGGAGCCATGACTAACACCAATAGTCGGATCTGGTGTAAGGAAGCTGTATATTATCATATTTCTCGGGAGGCTGTTGCCAAGCTGGGACAGGCAAACCTCACAGTTTTGGTTTCTCTCAGCTCCTCATTATTGACATCTTATGTCTGGCCTGTCCAGAGCTTGGAAATGTTATGAACTGCACTCCAACTTTCAGATTCCTCCAACCAGCCAGTTTCCAAGTTCTGCTTCTCTCCTGTCTCTGCATTAGTTTGCTATTTATAAAAGAAAAATTCAGATCTGTATAAGTTTCCATGCAATTTATCCCTAATTTACACATTTTTTGTGTGTTCTCCCTGTCTGGGTATTTCACAAGTATGCATGGAAAAGGAGGTTTCTTTTTTGGCCATACTAGCTGGGCACTTCTATGAGCTGTAGCCTCACAACTTTTCCAAGCTGTCTTGTAGACAACTGGAGATGTCAGTAAAGGATCGTCAACTGTGGTCCATCCACATTAGCCCCTGCCTGCTGCACACTTTTTCTTCCCATGCGTGAAATTTGCACGCTTTCTGTGTTGAGGCTTTTTCATGTCAGTCCTTAAACTTCCTGTTAGGACCCTTCTTTTGTGTCCATTTAAACATCAATGTGACATGTTTATAGGGCTTCAAGGTCATAAGATCAGCAGTCTGAATCCATGCGATGGAATGAGCTCCCGTTATTTGTCCCAGCTCCCACCAACCTAGCAAGTAGATAAATAGGTACCACCAAGGTGGGAAGTAACAGCATTCTGTGTCTAGTTGCGCTGGCCATGTGACCACGGAAACTGTCTTCGGACAAGCGCTGGCTCTATGGCTTGTAGACAGGGATGAGCACTGCCCCTAGAGTCAGACACGACTGGACAAATTGTCAAGGAGAACCTTTACCTTTTACCAGTATTTCTAACACATATACCTCCAATAAGGATTTGATTAAGCTTCTGGATATGTCTTTGCCCACTCTTCTCTGCACACTCCTTCATACAATTCATTTCCTGATATTTACACAAACAATACAAACCACTACCACCTTCTTTGCCTGTCATAGCCATGCCCTTTTGCAGGGACATGCTTTAGAATATAAATGCAATGCCAGCAGGCTTTATTAGTTGCACGCACGTATTTTCTCATGAAAAACCTTCTCTGGAAGATGCAAGTAGGATGTCAGTCATAACAGATAGGTCACCTATTGCTGAAAACAATAATCCATGCTCATGGTGTGAGCAGAAATGCAGAGAAGTAACCAGCTCTCTGCCTCACTGTTAAGGGTGTCCCTCCCTACATTTTCTATTTTTAGATTTGCATTTCAATAACGGATGTTTCAGATAAAAACAGCTTTTGAACTCTTCCTCTACTCTTGCACTTTTTCATCACCAAGAGAATTGAAACTGAGCCTGAAATTACAGAAAGGATGACACCATTCATTCATTCATTCATGAATGGAACTGACATCTTGTCAGTATCAACAGTCTCCATCACACTACAAAATATGGGATGATATCTAGGGGGGAAAATTGCCCATGTATAATTTTGCTGTTATTGCAGCAACTTTTTTTTGTGTGGGTGGATTTGCACTATAAAACGGAGCATTAAAACAACTCCCAAACCTCTCACTCTTGTGTGCTAGATTTTTAGACTGCAGCTAGTTATTTTTCCTTTATTAGGAAACAGTGACAGTGTAGCAGTTTTGAAAAGCATATTTTCTGCACTAAATATTAGAAATCTCTTGTTATGATGAAAAAGAGTACATGCCCAAATCCTAATTTTAATTGTTTTTGCTGTGTCATGATATTGCTTATGCTTGTTTTTTTAGAAGTGTATTTAAAGAGATGTAAAGAGAAATTAGAGGCAATTATCACTAGGAGATCCTAAGAAAAGGAGATTCCCCGAGGGGAATCATAACAATAGAGAAATATTTTAAGAGGGAAACTAGAAAAGGTTATCAATGATGTCACAACCATTTGTGCATATTATTCAAGAACTGTTAATTAAAATCTGAACCTGGCAATTCATATAGCAAGGATATATGTTTTGTGTCTCCATCACAATAATCCAGTGTAATTCTAAAGATTAGCGCGTGGAAATTTCACAATCAGTTATCTGTTTTCTCAGAATGAAAAAAAAGCATTGCTATTTAACATTTTGAGGCAACAAATGAACACACAGCCAGAATATTTTTTTAAAAGCCCATAAAAAAACCATGTGGCCTTGCAAATTTATTGCATTAAACAGAGCAAAATCGTAATCTCTTCATTTCTCTCTCTCTCTCTCTCTCCCTCCCTCCCACTACCTTCCACTATATGGGAGGGAGAGAGAATCTCTCTCTCTCTCTCTCTCTCTCTCTCTCTCTCTCTCTCTCTCTCTCTCTGTGTGTGTGTGTGTGTGTGTGTGAGAGAGAGAGAGAGAGAGAGAGAGAGAGACGCAGCAGCTTCTTGGAAAATAATGCAATTCAGGCTGAGGAGAATTACTGCCTTGCAGATTCTATTTATCTGTAGTTTAAAAAGCAGCTGCGTTTTTGTAAAAACCAATGAATGTGGCAGTCCTACTTAAAGGTAGAAGAAAAAGAACACCCCTTGTTTTGTAATAAGGGGATTTTCAATTTAAAAGCGAGAGAGGGCCTGTTGTGTGAAGTATGGTTATTACATTCACTGTATTCTATCTCACCCACCAGGAGGCTAATAATGAAGGAGTCAGTAAAGGAGGCCAGTGCCGTGAGGGTTATCTCGCGGCCCCAGATGCTGGATAAGTTGAAGAAGGCAGAATCGCTTTGGATGACATTCAGGTCTGAATGATGATTTGGAGAAGAAAAGACTATTCTTTCCAAGGTAAACAGTCCATTTCATCTGTCAGCTGTACATATTGGTCTAAAATATGTTTATATAGATATCTATAAAGTTCACTTTATCACTTTCAGGTTTCCCCCCCTCCATGTGACAATGAGCTTTCAGCAATTCAATCCTCAGACAAAAGATCTATTCTGTGCCCAGCTATACCTAAATGGAAGCTTTGAAAGAATTGCCAAATTCACTTTTAATAATGAAAAGGAAATTCCCTCAACTAGAGTCACCAGACAATGAAAAAGTAACTGTCGACTCCAAATCTTTGGAGCCAGTGCCATGGGAACAGTTGAGAAATGATTTCAGAATGTGGATATCTTAGGATATATACATATGCGATTGTTTTCTCTTTTAGTAGCCATGAGTTTAAGAACATTTAACTGTAAACTTTTTTTTAGGCTAAATGCCTGTCAGAATGTTTGTCCCTGTGTTAATAGACCAGATTTCATCCTTATTGCTGTTACTTATGGTCACAGATTTAAATTATGCACTCTATGTCCTAGTAGCCCTTAGAAGGCTATCAGGATGAGAGATGAAATACATGTATGTGTCTGAAAGCATCTGTGTGAATGTATGTATTCGTCTGATATGTGTCCTCGCTTTTTCGTGGTACTTTTTATTGTTCACATCTTATATGTTTCAAAGGGAGACTTAGAGACATGCTGGGGCTTCAATTCCTCTTAAAACAAGTTAAATACATGAATGTATTTAACGGTTTTGTTACAACACTTTAATTTTCAGCACATGGATGCTAAAGAAATGCACTGTGTTAAGAATTAGTATTTGGGCCATTCAGAAGAATTAATCAATTTTCAGGGTAAATTAAATTTGAGAATCTCTGGATGAGTTGATGCTTTTTTTTGCTTCAATATGCCACACAGAATAAAACAACACACCATCGAAATGAGTCCATAATAGCCCACCTTGGCTATTCTTCCTTTTCAATTCAGGCTGTCAGCCAACAAGGGAATGCAGCTGAGACAAACATTTTTCCACTTTCACAAATAAAGATCATCATGCAGTGCAGAGGCACTGGAGGAAACTCTTCAACCAAAGGCTGTATTTCTCAAGAAGATCCTAAGAATAAAAGGATTAAACTGGCCAAGGGCCTATTTTGTGATGTGGATTTTGTTTGGCTAAGGAAGAGCACAATGAGGGGGGGATCCCCTCCCCTCCTTATTCTCTTGCCAAAATAAAAACAAGTTTAGTGACTGTGAGTTTCCCACATATCTGAGCCATGTCGTATCACCATGCCAACATAGCATTAATCTCCTCTAAAGTGACTATTTCAAAAGAAAGAAGGCCACAGCCTAACCCACAACCCACCCTGAAATCTAAAGCTGCATTAGAAACTCTTTAAGGACTTTTATGCCCAGATGATTTCCATGGAAAGGTTAAGTATGCCCTTAAATCTCTCCTATTGAAATTGATGGATTTAGGCAATTTTCACTTGGACTGAATGACACCCTTTCTCTGTTAATTTTACAACACTTATTTTTAAAAGAGGGCAGGATATAACTTTTTAAGTATACAATGACTTGCCTAGCTGTCCTTTTACAAAATAATACATGTGGGTTAGCCAGTAAGCCCAATGAGAATGCATGTCCTATCATGTAAAATGGCATGTCAATTCAGTTCAGTAGCATGCAGATGGACATTGCCACACTACAGATGTATTACAGATGCATCCCTAAACACAAGGTGTACGGTAGAATCCTGTTGCTCCATGGCAATCTTTTTTGCTGGAAGCCCTATCTAAGTATATTTGCGAAGGCTTTCACGGCCGGGATCTAATGGTTGTTGTGGGTTTTTCGGGCTCTTTGGCCATGTTCTGAAGGTTTTGTCTTCTTCTGTAAATGGGTGATTAGTGTGTATTGTTGTGGGTGTATTGTTGTGCTAAGGAAGAATTTCTCAACCATCTTAACAGCATCCACCCAAATATATAATTCACCATGGAAAAAGAAATAGAGGGCCAACTCCTGATCTTAGATGTCATGGTCTTATGCAAAACTGACCTCCGACTGGGACACAAGGTCTACAGAAAACCCACCCAGACAGACTGGTATCTACACAAAAACGCCAACCACCACCCACAGCAAAAAAGAGGCATAATCAAAACACTGGTAGACCGTGCAAATTGGAACTGTGAAGGTCAGTTTCTCAGCACTGAACTCAACCATCTGAATTGGGCCCTACAGGCAAATGGCTACTCCAGAAATGAAATCACAAGAGCCATCAAACCAAGAAAACAACACTGAACTGAAGAAGAAAAACAGCCACCCACAAATAAAGTATTTCTGCCATACATCAAAGGGGTCACGGACCACATGGGGAAACTTTTGAAAAAACACAACCTACAAACAGTATTCAAGCCCACCACAAAAATACAACAAATGTTATGGTCAGCAAAGGACAAAAGGGACCCCCTCACCATTGCCTGAGTATACCGGAAACCTTGCAGTTGTGGCCAGGGATATATTGGAACCACAAAACGAAGCATCCACACCAGAATCAAAGAACATGAGAGACACTGCAGACTAAAACAACCAGAAAAATCTGCAGTAGCTGAACATGCCCTGAAACAAACTGGACATGAAATTCTATTCCAAAATACTGAAATACTGGACAACACCAGCAATCATTACGTCAGACTGCACAGGGAAGCCATTGAAATCCACAAGCACCAGCAAAACATCAACAAAAAAGAGGAAAGTGTGAAGCTCAACAAAACTTGGCTCCCAGCTCTCAAAAATACAGCGTGCAAAAGGTCAGCTAACTCTATCTAGCCATACGGACAGGGGATCACTACACACAAAAGACCAACTAGTGACACCTATCAACCACAGGAACAGATAATCTCTTCTCCTTAGCACAACAATACACCCACAACAATACACACTAATCAGCCATCTACAGAAAAAGACAAAAGCCTATCTCACATAAATACTGCACTCCCAAAGCCAACTACACCAGAGCACAGAGTGCTGTCCTCTGAAGATGCCGGCCACAGAGACTGGTGAAATGTTAGAAGGAACAACCTTCAGAACATGGCCAAAGAGCCCGAAAAACCCACAACAACCCTATCTAAGTGTTAGCAAAAAGGGTTAATTTGAAATTGTGAGCAGGGAGAAAGTTCTAGTTCTTTCCTTCCCTTTCATAATCTTCATGTGAGGAAAGACAGTCTGAAGAGGAGACAGTCTGCTAAATATGAAGCCTCTCCATGTGATTGGGCACCCCTATTTTTTAGGATTTTGAACTAAGTGGAGAGACTCCATATGTGGTTGAACCTGTCCTCTTCTGATAGTAACAGGCAGCGGGTGTGAACACTGTCTCTTCCAAATTAATGCCCCTTCTCTCTTTTTTTTGAACACTTGTATAGGACGTAAGTGAATGAAAGTGACTATTTAAGGCTTCTGTACTGTATGCATATGCCAATGCATATGGCAGAATATGAGAGCTTCATTTTTCTTCTTAGGTTATTTGGGTGGCATTCATTTCTAGCAGAATGCAATATATTTTATTTTATAGGAGCCTCATGGCGCAGTGGTTAAACTGCTGTACTGCAGCCAAAACTGTGCTCACAACCCGGGGTTCAATCCCAGGTAGCAGGCTCAAGGCTGACTCAGACTTCTATCCTTCCAAGGTCGGTAAAATGAGTACCCAGCTTGCTGGGGGGGGGGGCCAATGTGTAGCCTGCATAACTAACTTGTAAACCGCCCAGAGAGTGCTTGAAGTGCTGTGGGGCGGTATATAAGCAGCACACACATATACATATATGTAAAATGTAGATAGAATTTAGTATTCTACCAAATAATTTTGGATTACACAAATATTTTAACACAATTTGATTTTGTATTCATTGTCAGTGCTTATAAGAAAAAAATGATATATTCAAAAGGGGAGATGAGCAGCTGGGAATGTTTTTATAACCATTTAAAACTTACCTGAAAACATATTGGAAGGTTGGGAGTACATTAATCTGGACCCAATTAGTGTCTATGTGTCCCTCAAAAGTACTACCTCAGATTGATGGATATAAACTAGAGCTTCCATTTCAGTCTTTAAACCATTTTCATGTTTTATGCATGTTCATTTCATTTATTTATGCATATTCTTTTGTCTATTGGTTTCCTCCTTTCACTTATACTAACCATACAGTGTGAGAAATAAGATTTGATAGATAGTAAGAGAATAGTAAAAGGTAAATCAAATGATATAGATCTTCAGTGGCAGTACTTTAAATTTAAATTAATCTCAACACCAGGGTTCCCTTACTAAAGTTAATGTTAGCTGCTTTATTTAAAGTAATTCTTTTAGCCTTTTGAGGCATTTTGGATATTCTTTGGTGTATGTACGAATCTGGAAGCAGAATGATTTCCAAAAGGCTTTGACTTTGTCATTTTCTTACATTTTCAATGACAATAGACATGTTTCAACTTATCCAATTAGAAAGAATACGTTTCCAACTATGAATTACTGTATCCATTTCAGGACCTGCAGGGCTTGATTTTGAACATAACAGTAAAAGATAATTTCTTCATTGTGTAGCAGAAATATGATTGAGAGAGTAGATGGTGGAATTATCATGGATTGAGGTACACTAAGATCTAGAGGAAAGTTTCCCATGTAGGATGTTGATGGCCACTGAGTTTGACAGCTGCTGTGGTCCCTGCACTGTCATCTTCCTGTTTATCTCAAACGAGTTAGTGTACCTGTAGTGCTGTTGTCTTATTTGGCCCCCCACCCAGGAGCAAATTTGATGTGCAATTGCCCTATTAGGGAACTACCGTAGGAAAGGGGGAAAGGGGAAAAGGAATTTTAAATGTTTGAGGTAGTCTTCACAGTTTTCTTGTCTTTTGTACGTGTTGCAAGATGTCTGTTATAGTGCTATTTTCTGTGGTGTCTTGTCTATTCAGTGAATTTGATGGCTGTGTGTTGTGACCGTCCCCAATCTGTTTAGCTAGCAGTCTCACTGAAGCCTAAATTGCTGTTAATTTGTGATGTAACTATTGTGGTGTGTTTCTAAATCATTGCAATGTAGTTTTAAAATGTTGAGTAATGTAGCATGAAATTCTCAGTTAGTTTGGAAATGGTTGTGAAATCATGTGAAGAAAATCAGTATTGCATCTGATCAAGATAAATTCACTCTAGTGTTTTATGGCTTTTTATTCCTATGTGATAGTAATAAAGTCTCATGTAGGGATGGAAGCCATGAAATACATTGTGAAAAATCATCAACTAAGATGAGCCATCAGAATAGAATCATTACAGTAGTTGAGCTGTTAACGATTATTGGAAAATGATGGAGTATGTTGTTTTGTTGACTTCCACGCTTGTGCTGCTTTTTCATTGCCTCACCCTTAGCAACTGAAGGATAAGGGAACAATGAAAATAATTCATCTCTTAAACCAGCATCTAAGTCATATGTTTCAATACATTTTTAATTTTTTTTTCTTATTAAAGAGATTGCTGTGCATGAAACATAGAATTATGTACACCCTGACACAGAGAACACAATCTGTGGCATTTATAAGAAGGTCCAGATTTCTTTACTCCCATATTCAAGTGAATATGATCCAACTGCTGGACTAGAACTGATGTAGTAGCTCTCATATTCTGCACTGAAACATTTTTTCCCTAAATGTGCAGGCTCTCTCTTGCCTGATGGGACCTGGATTCTAGTGGGGGATATGGCTTTGGGCAAGTGCACAATGGCATAAGGAGCCGAATGATAGCCATGTCATTGTACCGATCTATGTGATGACGCTTCACTAATACTGTTGGTATGGCATGGCATGCAGGTATGCCACTGTAACTTCAATGGTTCCAGAATGATGTTTGGATGACCCCTGTGTCTAAGCCCAATGCCTCATTGTACATTATTTCCTCGCAATTGTTAGACTTACATGCAGTTCACTTTTTTGGTGATTATTCTGATTTTTGAGATACTTTGGGAAATATTAAACAGGACTATTAGATCTAGACTAGTTTGTCATTTCTTCTTTAGTTTCTTCTCTACACTTAGTTACATCTAATAAAACTGATATTTTGGGGGTAAATTTCTATTCTCCTACTCTCAAAAGCAACAAATCTGACTTTCTCTTTTATCTCCACCTCTTTTTCCATAGTTGACTGTTCTGATGATGCAGCAGCACCAAGAAAAATAACTGTTTCCTATTGTATAGCCCAGGCCAATTTAGAACCATGCTATATGAGACATTTAATACATAACTACATTTGCAACTTTACATTGAAGGAAAAAGTAGGGCAGAGCGACTAAATTCGTTATTCCTTTTCTGTGCAAATGGTTCAGGGAGTGTGCATTTTGATAAATACACTCTGGGTCAAGGTGGAAACCTCCAACAATTTGTGAGGAGGAAATATAATTATCCTCTGAGAAATGTTGGTTTGGTTAATGCTGATGGAGTCTTGGCTGACAGTTAAAAACAGTGGATGGTAAGCAGGATGGAAAAAGAGAGATGGACAAGATGGAGTAAGGGCTGATCCTATGTCCCCTTCAAAAGTATTAAATATTAAAATAATATAAAGTAATATGTGTCCCCAAACCTCCGTCCTACGTATGGACAAAATCATCAGATCACTTTATAAAATATTCCAAAAGGATTTTTTTTCTTGAAAAAAAAATGCCTTATAAAGGAAGTAGTACCACAACCCCAATAGCAGCCATTTGGAATTGTAAGGGAAATGGTACCCACACTGCACGTTACAGTTTGCCATGATTGTGCTTTTCATCTTCAATATCACATGCAAATGCAATCCCACATTTAATGTGCCTTCTTATCTTAACCTTCAAATTAATTTTAAAACTAAACCTATTTGGATAGTGCATTGCTGTTGAGCCCTGTTATGAAGTTTTAAAAGTGTGTTGCATCAGTAGAAAGGAGTGGAACCATGTCAGCATCATCCCCTCAGTCATCCCATCTGTTGCCCTTTAAACATGGGGAATGATGGGTCTGAAGCTTCCACTATCCATGGAAAATCAGAATTCCATCTTACAGAAGAGCCTCCATTCTCTCCTTTGGGCTGTTTTCCATAATGAGAGGAAAGCAATGGAATTTGAGACACAGGAGTCAATACGAGACTCTCCCCTTCCCTCGTTTGTTAATATAGCATGCATTAAAAATGCCTGAACAGGGCTTCAGTTTAATTAATCAATTAAACCCCAGCCACTGTTTGAAGTGAATCATTATATAAACAAAAACTTCCCTAACACATTTCTCACATCCCTCTCTGATAACAATTGGGGGGGGGGAGGCAGTTGGGAAGAGGTTGCAATAACAATTCATAATGTTCAATAACCATAACATTTGTTTAGGAATATGGTCATGGGTTGCTTGTTGCTTCAGTGCCGGTGAGAGTTCTATGCAATAGATTGTCATGGCTTAAGATTTAGTGACCTATTACTTACAGTACATATGCCATCGTAAGTCAAACTGCATAAATTGTACTGGGAAGTTAAGTCATCAACACTTATATATTCTTTGCCATGTACTGGGACTTGCCATGTACTGGTCATATGACTTGGTACTTATATATTCTTTGCCATGTACTGGTCATATGACTTGCCATGTACTGGTCATATGACTTGGTGTGCAAGGAGGAATACAAGTGCTGAACTTCTTAAATAGCAGCAACCTGCCATTGCGGTGAATGGTCTTTGACTTACTCCAGCTTACATAAGTAATAGGATTCTGGCCTTTGTGTGAAGAATTCATCCAGATCTTGAAAGGATTGTTCTGGATGATAAGTTTCAAAATTCCTAGGGAAACATGGCTAGTTACCATACTGACCATGGGAATCTGAAAATTAGCACTCAAAAAATTAAACTTTTTCAAACTCACTTTCCGTTCCCTAAGGAAGCATTAGCATTTGGAGGCAGAAGCTCCTTATTTAATCACTGTTTCTGCACCCATCACACAAGACTGAAAATAAAGCTTTTCCATTTCAGCAACCATAGGGGATGTGAAAATCTATTTCACTTTCTCCTGATTTTTTTAAACCTCAAGCTATTTTTGTCATGAATAAGTGATTTAATTTTTTTTACGTTCCTTCAGGAACAAACTAAAGCAAACTTATTTCCCTTTTACACGCCAAATTCAGTATGTACATCATTTGCAGGGGTGGATGCCATGTTGTATCTGCTGGCCATGTATATGTTGAAGATGAGGAATTTTTGGGATGGTGTGTGTGGGGAAGGTGGCAACCAAAACCGAGCACTAATACAGTTTAATACACAGGGTTTCAACCCCAGACTTCAATAATTAAGCATCTGGATCTAGAAGGACAAAACACATGTGGAGAAATGGCCCCTTTTGCATGTGGTTGCAGAAATATGCCAATTGTGCAAGGGCGCATCAGCTATCCCCTTATGCACATGTATGTCTCTTTGTTTCCGGGGGGGGCAGTCTCTGGCTTGTGTAATTACAAGCTGGAGATCACTTGAGAATGGCCGAGAATGCTCTGTCTGCCTATCAGTTCTGTACCACCATTACAAAAAGCATTCTGGCCATTCAGTTTAATTTCTCAAGTTCTTTCCATCTGAGTTATATAAAAACATTACGTTTGTTACATTCTTGACTCACAACAAACTCGAATGAAAATTTCACTCACCTTGAGCAACTACACCATGATCCAGAACTGCAGAAAGTTTTTGATTGCTGGGCCCACAGATAAAAGTCCTTTTAATGAGGAAGACATAGAAGCCTTTGTTCCTCCCCACCACCACCACCTTAATTTACATAATGTGGCGAGATTCTCAAATGGTTTCTTTTTTCCCCTGTAGACTCTCAACAAAACCTGAGAAGAGTTGTTCCAGTTAAGTGGATTATGTATTCATATAAAGATGAATGGACAACCTACTGTTATCTCCAAGTGTGAGAGTCACATGCAGAAGTGCTCAAGGATGCAGTCCAATATCTTAACTGTTGAACCGTTTTGCCTTTTCATCTGTGAAGTTCGTTTACAGCCATTATAACAAGAACATAATGGCCTCTTGCAACTAGATCACCATCAAAATCACTTCTGGACCTTGTGGCAGAAAGTCACCTATATATCCATTTACTAATGTATGACAGTTATGGATTGGATCCTCTGGTTAATTACATGCACAGCTGAAAATGTGCAGCTAGGAGTAGAGAATCAGGGATTAAAGCTATTTTTCTTCTCCACCTAGCAGTTCAACTGGTCACTTAGAATAGTGGCTACTACTAATCCATGTGACAAGTGGCATGATTTTGGTGGTCTTTCTCTCCTTGCTTGCCAAAACATAAAGTTGTGCATTTGTTTAAGCATGGATGATGTCTAGAAAATATGTCAGAAAACAAGATCTTAGCTTATTGCATTATAATACAGACTTCCCTCTCTGTCATACACGTTTACACTTATGTATTAAGGATAGATCCTTGGTAAGCTAGCATTTTGTCTCCCCATTAAATAATGTTTCCTATGATAATGTTTTATTGGGGAGATTCTATCCAGAAAAATCCATGGTTTTGGGAAAAAAAAAACTATAGTTAGAGAATCAATTGAATTAGCTTATATTTCAAAACTGCACCAGAAGTATGACCTAATAACTTTGCATACGCATAAATGTGCAGTGAGGACAACCTGCGAACAGGAATGAATGAAATGTTGTGGTGTCACACACTAGATTCAACAAGTTGCAATGAAGAAGTTTGCTTTGTAATCCATGGTGGTAACTCCTTGCTCCTGGGCATATGGAAAATCAAAGGAATTTATGGCAATGTCTTTACTCTGGTTTAAAGGAAAGAAAGTGACTTTGCAAACATTATGGAATCTATGTAAAAACATAAATAAATACTTGAAAGTGAGAATCTTGACTAAGGCTGCAGTCATATCAGCAAAATGTTTCTGAGTGAATTTCGACCCTTTTTTGTTGTTCAGATGACAGCATCGCCATTACTAATTCTCTGTCCCCCACCTCCATGCTATCTCCACATTAAATCCAGCCCACTTGGAAGCTGCTGCTATATTTGTTTTACATTTCATCATACAGTACAGCTGACATTCCACTGAGTATGTACTACTAAATTGATTCATTTCCTTTACATCTGACATGCAGTCCCACTTCCCCAAACTGCTGTTCGACTCCCTTAATTTTTTAAAATTAATTTTTCAACGAGGATGTTGGCATGTTGGTATGCTTCTGTCAAATACTGCTTGAAGTATTGGGGGAGGGCTTTCTTAGCCTGCCACCTTCAGCATGCTTCCACCAGGTAGTGCTAAGACGTCAATCCACTTTCAAGGTATTCTTGCAGCATGGGCAATTTACTGACACACCGACATATCCATATGACAGCTCATATGTGAGTACAGTATATCCTCAGAAAGTGGATCCCAAAAGCACATCTCCATGGGGCAGGCATTCTCTAAAGAGACTGTCAGGGGACGTTCCACTCTCCCCCATGGATAGGCTTTATTCTGGTGGCTTTCTGCCCTATCACCCTTGTGCACAAGCACACTGCCGTGTGCCTAGATATTAAACCGATGGAGAACTTGCCCCTCTCCCAAGCTTACACTTTTGTTTATCTGTTCACCATGATTCTGAAGAGAAGCAGAAAAATCCAGAAATTGGTTGCATTTACACATAACTAGTTGCTTGTGATTAATTACTAATCACGTACAAGTATATAACTACATTACATTACAGTTTTAACTTAGCAAGGGATAACTATGTTGCATTGGCACAGCAATATAACAGCAAGTTTGGTGGCAGTGCAGGAAAGCTGCAATTCTTAGAGGAACTGGAACACTAATTCTAATCTAATCTTCTCCCCAAGTTGCCCATTCTTGATGTAAATATTGCTCTTTCACTTTTTATATATATCACTACTGAGTGGCATTTCAAGTGAGCCACTCTTTTTTCCCCACGGCTCATATATCTTGTGCTTTCCTACTGTTCATATCTTCTTTTGTCCCTCACTGAACACAAGAATGAGACACATCACAAAATGAGAAGAAAATGTAGGTGGTGCTATATCCTATAACTGTCTGCTTGGAAGCTAAGTCTCATAGTGTTGAATGGAGCTTCCTTTCGGGTAAGTGAGTCTAGGATTGCAGCCTTGAGTGTCACAGTTATGTTTACATCTATTCATCTGAAACTTATCATCTTCGCTTCCCTCAGAACAGACAAACATGCTTGCAAATTTGCAGTTCGGTCAAGAGATTAAAAACAGCAGTTCCATTTTAAGAACATTAACATTTAAAGATATTCGGGTACTCAGTGTGTTGTAGTGGACAGAGAAAATGATGGACTGGGAATCGGGAGATGTACGTTTGAGTTCCTCTTGGAAATAGAAATTCACAAGAGGTAGAGGGGTTGTCACTATTAAAACCAATCCTTAAAATACCTTGTTTACCTAGAAAGCACTGTTAAGCTCTTTCTAAATCAAGTCTGACTTGATGGCACAGAACACACAGATCAAAAATCCCTCCCAAACTGTGGCAGGCCCAAACGCTTCTACAGGACCTACCTACAAATTCTGTGCAATTCTGACAAAAAGTACCAAAGTTATAACTATCTTTGGATTTTCTGTGACTGTCAGTGGCTGAAATCTAGTTGGTGCAACTTCACCACAGGGACAGGGTGGGAGAGAGGAGCCTTTAAAATCAGAAAATCACTGGCAGCAATCCTGATCTGGTGGTGAGACCATTGGCCGCAATATTCGGATTTTAAAGTTCCCACACGTGCACTGGATCTCTAGGGTGCCTCAGAACCTGAAGGAAAGGATAAGAAATTTTAAATTTAATCAATTGTCTTTTAATAATTAAGCTGCTATATGTCCTTTTTAAGGAGAAAGGTGTGTGTGTGTGTAAACAAACAAACAATAAAATAGAATAAAAAGACAATATTTGAAGCTAAAAATCAGTAAATATACAAATACTAAAAAGAGTCAAATACCACTCTACAACAAGGTAAACACAAACAACATGGAAAACTCATTCAAAGTAGTAGGGCACAACAATCCATTTAACAACCCCAGTCAGGCAGCCAGTCATTGAGAGGAAGCTTGCCTGAAGAGAAAGGTCTTTGCCCCAGAGGGAAAGCAAAGATGGGGACTGCTTGGCCTCCTGTAGGGGAGCTGCAAAGTTTGAGAGCAGCAATAGAGAAGAACCTTTTTTGTGTCCCTACCGAAATACACCCTGTGCAGCACAGTCAGTGATATCAAGCTAATAATGGTATGCCATAAAACTACTGCATGGATCACCACAAACAGCCTTGGAGATTGTTTGACTGAAATGTTATCAAATTACTGTTATCAATAAATCATCACTCACATTCAGTTTGGGAGAAGCCCTGAATATATATTTAAACTTTTCTGCTTCATTTAGCTGATTCACCGCAAAGCCTTCAGTGTCAGAGTTGCTTCTGAAACAGTAGCAAAGTATTGCTTGAAGGAGTAAAGGAGAAGGAACAGAGTTTGGTAGATGATAAAAAGAAACAGGCAGTAGAAACTGCACAGAGATTGCCTCTACAGGTAACATATTGCGTCTCATTACTGCTACCAATTTCTGGAGATTCTGCTCAACAGAAGAAAATTGGCTGAGGAAATGAGCTGCATCCAGGTGCTATCAAAGCCAGGAAGTGGCCTAATTATGTACATTCTGAGTGTGTGCAACTATGCTTTTTTTTTACCACTTCTTGGAAACTTTGAGATATCAATGGAAGTGCTCTAAAGAAGCACCCAGATCCCACGACAACCCCATTAGCTGATTAGAGAAGGTTATTACACATGTAGCTATTTAAACACAGTGCACTTCTATGGTGAGGATGACCTATTAGGGATAATAACGTGCCTTTCAAAATTCTTGGTTTCATACTCTCAGATAAAAGGGTCCAGAAGAAAGAAGGCTGCCTCACCCCTTCTGATACGCCATGCGACGGTGACTCACCTGTGTGCAACACACATTGTGCTCTTCTGCCATCTTTGCTGAGGGAAGGCATCAGCACACAATGCCATTGCATCGTGAATGCTAAGCAGATTTAACTCTGTTCAGTGTCTCAGTGTGAGGCTGCCTAGAATTCCAAGGAAGACACTCACAGATAATAAAGTGTAGGAGAAATAATTTTGTTTGTGCTCCCTCCCCTTACATAGCAAGAAGTTTCAAAGAGCAGTGCTGTTGAAGTTGCTTTCTTTTCAAGTACTGGGAAAGTACTAGGGGCTTATAATAATACGTGCAATCAAGTTGATTCTGACTTATGGTGACACTTTCCAAGTTTTCTAGGTAGAAAATACTCAGAAGCATTCTGGGGGAGGGGGAGTGACCTGGCACTGTGCAGGTTGCTCATGGCTACACAGGTTGGCTCTTCTCTCTGGAGGCCCAGTGGAGAATAAAACTCCCAATCTCTGGCTGTGCGGTCAAATACCTAAACCACTGAACTATCCAGTGCAAGAGACTTAGACCACTCTCTTATTACTCACTCTATTAACAACTATACAACTATACAAATAGAACATTATCTGGAGACAGAGTAGCAGAATTACAGGGCAGAAGATCTGCTAGCATTTATCAGAACCCAAATGGTCATACTTAGGCACCTTCTAGATCTTAGCGAACCACTCATTCTAGCCAGGAAGGGCGTCTGAGGGGCCTAATGCCAAGGGAGGCCTGGAGAGAAAGAACAAGGAACCGGGCCTTCTTGGCAGTGGCCCCTCGCCTTTGGCCCCCAGAGAGCTGTCTGACTCGCTCACTTGGTGTTCTTAAGAGAAGACTTAAAAATTATGTGTTATTAAGGCCTGGCTCTTTGGACAGGCTTTCCTGTCATCACTTGAAGTTTAGTTTCTTTTCCCCATCTTGAACTATATTACTATTGTTGTTTTTTACTTTATTAGATTGTTTTTATTCCATTTTTTATTGTTAGCCACCCAGAGTAGACTTCGGTCTAGATTGGCAGGGTATAATTTTAATTAATTAATAAATAAAAGTAAATTCCATGCCTGAAGATTAATCCAAGCTTACCATGCTTAAAGTAAATTCACTGAAATCAATAAGACTTAAGATAGTCGTGATTAAGCTATGCAACAGATTTAAATAGGTCTGCAGTAAGAATGACAAGTCAAAACACAATTCCAGACAATGCAGCACTTTCCTTGCTTCATTTCCATTTATTCTTAGCTGGAAAATGGCCTGTTATTTTTTCACATTCACCCTCCCACAATACAGGCATCCCGCCTTTTTCTTTGGTCCATTTTCTTCAAGCCATATTGACTATCTCATTCAAGCACGCCAGAGATATAACCATCTCCAAAGCATTGTCCTTCCTCTATAAAATATGAATGGTGCAGTCCTATACTGTACTTGTCTACTGAGAAATAAATCTCATTGAGTTCAATAGATTGTAGGATTGTAGCTTAATTAGATATGCTGGACTATTGGGCAGCAATCTACTCAATGAAAGGAATAGCTTACCAAGGATGCCCATCTAAGGTGTGATCAGACAGAGAAGCAGCACACATGTTTGGCATGGTCTTGTGTGAGCTGTTATCTGGTGATGAAATACTAGAGATGGGCTTGAATTGTGCTTTAGCAATTCTGTCCAGTACAGTATGGTGCCTGCTGTCGTTTGTGTGGGCTACTGCTGGAGGAGGCAGAAGAAGGAAGAGAGCTGCTGCCACTGAGTGGGCAGTTGCCCATAGGAGGCAGGGGGGAGAAGTGGGGCACCTACATAACACGTGTGGGTGCCACACCAAACCAGACAAACTGCTGAAGCACTGTTCATGCCCATCTATACACAAGATATACAGGACTAGGCCCACTGGATTACTCAGACTCATAGAGGAGTTGACTCTCCAAATTCCCATCTA